GACTGTGTCACCTACCGATTGACTCAGATGCTTACCGGGCACGGTTGCTTCGGTGAGTATCTGAATCGAATTGGACGGGAGGCCACGGCACAATGCCACCATTGCGGGTCCGACCGGGACTCCGCCCAGCATACTCTGGAGGACTGCCCTGCGTGGGAGTCCGAACGTCGAGTCCTGGTCGGACAGATCGGACGAAACCTGTCACCGCCAGCATTAATCGCGGCAATGCTGGCGAGTGGCGAGGGATGGGCAGCCGCGGTCTCCTTCTGCGAGGACGTTGTGCTCCAAAAGGAGGCCGCAGAGCGGGATCGGGAGAGGGCCGATCCTGCTCGAAGGAGGCGGCGAAGGGGACGTGGCAGAGGTCGCTAACTCCCCAATCGCCGCCTAAGGGTCGCTGCGGCCACATCTTGGGGCGATGTGACCGCTGTAAACGACCCGAGACAGATGACACTCCGGTGCGGCCGGGGGCTGTCGTCTAAGGCGGGATGCTGTTGCGCCTTTTACTCTGTAGAACAGTGAGAGGCGCGGTAGCGTCCTGCCCCAGGGTGACTTCGATCACTCCGGGATGTGCCTCATACATGAGGTACGGCAGGGAGGACTCCAGAAGTCGCCGATGCGTTCCTGGAGCTCCTCCCGACTGCCGAGGTAGGCCGCCGCGGGGTTTAGTGGGTAGACCGGTTCTCCGGGAGTCCCACACACGCCCTACGTTTCCCCAACGAAGGGTATGGTGCGAAAAGCATTCCCCGCGTAAAAAAAAAAAAAAAAAAAAAAAGGTTAACGCATTGCAAAATTAAGCAATCACAGTCAGGTTAATCTAAAGATCGGTGACCATTCTAAAAACATTGAGAAACCTCCGTGTTTCAGAGAGCACGTTAAGCCATCGGTTCTGGGTGCCATACGAACCATCTGCGGCAATTGTTTGGGTATGTTGTCGGGTTTAGGTTGTAGGTGCCACTAAAAAGTCCAACAACAATATCCTTACAGAACTTCTATATCACCTGGTACTTGGGTTGTGGAGGGCTGATGAAAATCTAATTCAGTAAAAAGTCTAATTCAGCCGTATCGTAGTAGACTTAAGCCGACCCCAACCAAGTTTGAAAAAAGTTCGGAGGCAGATTTGCAGGCAAATTGTATCGGCAGAAATAATAAGAATGGCAGGTTTGCTCAAAGCGGATCTTATCCGGATCACATGACACAACCTCAAAGGAACCACTGATGAGAATAGACGTCATGAGGTCATATCTATAACTCACTATGAGAAACTTGCGATCACTGAGTTGTGTACTGAGCTCATCGACTACAGAATATATGAGAGATGGAGCCTTTCTTCCTCTTCGCCTTCCCCTTCTTGTGTTATTCCCAGTAACTTAACTACAGAGATATCTGTGTGATAAAACTGTAATTCAATTGTTTTATTAATTTAACTACCTACATGTATTTTTGTTAATCGGTGGTAATGTCCAGGGTATTCTGTTTCCCGCAGACGACTCAGGAGCCGGAGATCGCAAAACGACCTACGTCCTCCATAAGCTCAGGCCGGGGGGTGACAGGTGAGGCCATCTGTCACCCTAGCAGAAGCAGGCCGGGGTCGCGCGCCCTTACGGAAACACAGGAAACATGGGAGTTCCCACACAGGGGGGGTCGTCTACCCGGCGTAGATGGAACGAGGTACGTCGGGGCACCAGGGATTTCCTTTCTAGAGTACACCTGGATCCCCGACTACTGGTACCTGAGACGGCGTGCGGTTTTAGTCGGTTCGAGTCCGACATTGCCACCGGTAAGTGGTATCCGAGGGGGTTTCCGCATAGCATAGAAGTAGTATTTCTATATATATGAAGTGTCGATGACTTAAAAAGGTAAGTTAGTTAAGTACCCTCTCAAACACGATCTTGATACTAACGCAGGTGATGATGTGATTATTTTTTTACAGATCTTAAGTCTTCCATATAAAATTTCCATTCATTACGCTTTATTTACAAACATAGGCAAGCCCAGTCGAAACAATGATCTTAGATAAGGCGCGTGCGTTCTAAAGCGCTTAACACTAAAATAGTAGTTAGGTGTTACTCGATATACATTATATTGAGAGTAGAATTTAAAATTTTAGAAGCGAATTTGTTACCAATATAATATAATAAATAATAATTCTATGACCCCATTCTACTTGGATGTTCCTGAAATATATTTGCTATCTCTGAATAAATTCTTTACACAAAAATCTTTCAGAGTCTTAATGTAGCGTACCTTTCAACCTTAAAGTAAACTCGTAAAAAATGGCAATGACTGTGAAGAATAATAACAATAACAATAATAACAACTTCACACATCTCACACGGCAGTCTGATCCCAAACTAGGCAGAGCCTGTACTATGGTAACCAGACTGCTAATAAACATACTTATATATTTTTAAATACATACATATTATAGATAAATTACACCCAGACACAGAACAAATGACCGTGCTCATCACACAATATTTGTCCTGGGTGGGAATCGAACCTACGACCTCCGGTTTAGCAGTCAGGGTCACTAACCACTAGACCAACAGGCCCGTCAATTAACTAGAAAATTAAATAACGATAAGGTATAAGAATAAAGAAATAAAGCAAACCAGATTTCTCTCGCCAGGTCCAGTACCTCATATTTTTCAGAAGTATTCCTACCTATCTTTAAAAGAGCGACGTATGGCTTAACGATAACTGATTTAGCAAAAATTATGTTGCAAGTATTTCTAAGCAAGACTATTAGGCAGAATTCTTTTTATGGACTAATTGGCCTCAAATAAATCAGAAAGAATTAAAACTATCTAAAATTGAAGTCCATTAATTAAACATAATCACCTCCTTTGTATTGAAATGAAGGCTAATCCCGTATTATCAACCACAATGGCTACGCGATTTCCATTCACTTGAGATGGTAATTATATTAGCCTATTTGTAATTCATGATATGGATACAGTATAACTTCTGGCTAATTTCGTTTACAAAGCTATCGATTTATAGGTTATCTTGGCGTAATTATTGCTGTTTAATTCTGGTGTTAATTTCACATTGGAAATACTTGTTAGGTCATAGTTAATTAGGTAGATTCCTAGGTTTAAAATAAATTATTTCGCCTGCGTCATTAAATGTCACATTTTGAAGTAGAGCCTGAATTGTCCTCCATTATCATTTAAATCTTTTTATTGTTTTGATATCTTGATATCAACATTAAATATAAATGATTTAAAAATAGCTAGGTATGATGTCACGAAATAGTATTTCATACAAAAATGTACCGCGTCTAGCGTTTTGATGTTTAAAAAAAAGTTACTCATTTGACTTAACAGTCATCTACCCTATTCTACTCCAAGAAAACTATGACAGTATTATTTTATTACATTTGCATTTTAAATCGCAGTTTCACTGAGTTCCTCATGTAACTGAATGCATTATTATGTCAAATTCATTCGGAAGTTAGTTATGGCTAATATAACATTACTTTCAGCTTATTATCATAAAATATCTTGTTTAAATATATATATAAAACATGTTGTCTAATTGTTATTTTTGAATACAACTTATTTGTCCGTGTGGTGACGGATTATGAATACAAAGTGTCACCACCCCTATTCATCCCGTGGGTGTCGTAAGAGGCGACTAAGGGAGCAAACTATGCAGGACAACAGCACTGCAGAGAGAGGGAAAACTGACACAAACCCTATACCAACCCGTCTGGCTAGCGTGGTATAGTAGGCCAAAATCTCCTTTCTAAGGAGAGGCTTTTGTCCAGCTGTAAAATATTTTATTCTAATTCTTTTTATAATTTTCATTACATCTAAATAATACATAAACAAAGAAGATGTAATAACGATAAAACTCAGCGTTATTCTCTATATCTACATATTAAGCTCATAACTATATATTAGTGCATGTGAACAAAAATGAATGCAGTCGCAGGGTTAAAATCTTAGCGCCGCCACAAGTGTGAATGTCTGAAAACTTTTTTCAAAAGACATCGCGTTGATATAAGCCACCTGTACGCAATACAATTAGTCTTTGTTAGTAAGTACTCAACAGTAGAAGCTGCAAGATTCAAACAGAAACATGGAATATCTAGTACTATTATTAACGATTGCAACTTTAGTGAAATCATCGGTATATTATGGAGGTGAGATAAATTAGACGAATCACAGACGTCTCACAATATTTATTAATAACTAACTTACCAGCTGATATAGAAAGGTATTTATTTACTTTAACAATACTGCTCTTTGTGTCGTGTTTCTCATTTCTGAGAGTCCTGTCGTGAAGATAAATTGTGGAGAATCTTCTGGGCGATCGCTCTTCACTTGTTGCCTGCGGTTCTTAGTGGTGTAGTGGATCTGATCTGCCCTGTACATAGAATTTCTTCCTTTTAACCGCTACCCTTTTGCGCAGGTTATCGCCTTTTATCTGACCTATGTGACCAAAGATGTTTAAAATCCTGAAACATCTTAGATAACAGTGCTGAATTTACATTTTTATTGTACTGGTCTCTATAATTTGATATTGCGTTTCTGGATAATTTCCCCTTTCTCATCCGTTCATCACTTACGTGAAGCATTAGTTATCAATCATGATATATTTTATTTCAACTTTCACGTACGTATGTATCTAGTTCCCTATTTCACATATTTATTGTTAATATAGTCTAAATTATACCATAAACCATACACGCATATGCTTTTATTTTTTTGGAATATTGTACTTTTCATACAGGAAAATCTTATCTTGGTTTCCTAAGAACTTACCGTGAAACTTAATAGTTTGATAAGTTTTCACGGAACGTTTTCAATTGTATGCATAGGAGGGCCCAGACATAATTTTCTGGATCCTCCTACGCATAACACACTCAATGAAAACTTGCGTACTTTAGGAAAGGTACAATTCGACATTATCTCTATTCTGATGACCAAGTTTACTTAAATAATAAGTTGTTTAAAATTTCACCAACAGATTTACACAATTCAAGATATCTAATGCATTTTAAAGAAATACCGAAGCGTTTTGAAGTGAAAGGTGGAACCGCAAGCATGGATTTCAAGAAGTACTTCGATGAAATAGAAAATATAGCAAAACATGAAAACATAACTGTTGTATATAAAATTAAGTTAGAAGTAGTAAAACCAGTGGATCTAACAAATAGAAAAATAACGTCAAAAAAGTTTAAATCAAAAAAATACAATATACCGTTAAAGAAGAATAGTATGAAACTTTCAAACTTTGAAGTGATGTTGAGAAAGATGGCGGAACAATCAGGCCACGGTACTAATCAGAACTATGAGAATTATAATAATCCTGCTGTTACCACTGAAGCAGACAAGAGAGTGTCGTCGTCGAAGCCAATACAATTAAAATATAAACCTATAATATCTAAGTTAAAGACGAACTATACAAAGATTATAAGGCCCGTAAGGAACAGGGTTATAACTTTGACTCGTTAATTTTAAAGTGTTAAATAGGCTAGTGTTAATATATATTTTTTACATGATAATGTCTTTTCCTCGTATATATTCCCTGTATTATTTTAAATAAATTATTATTCTTAAATAGGAAGGATGGTAAAAACCAACACTTGGACAATTGGCTTTTTGAAATTAAGCTTCGCATTAAAGACACTTCGCATCCAATCTGTGGACTAAATAATCATCATCGTCATATATAGCCTCTAATAGTCCTTTGTTGGACATAGGCCTCTCCATATAAGAGAGGTTTTAGCCTTCTATCGCCTCATTCAACAGCCTTTCATAGTCCACTGCTGGACATAAGCCTATCCTTAGAAAGGAGGTTTTGGCCTACTATACCACGCTGGCCAGACGGGTTGGTATAGGATTTGTATCAAGTTTTCCTTCTTTTTGCAGTGTTGTTGTTCTGCGTATTTTTCTCCCTTCCCTCACAAGAAACAGCCCTCTCAAAGGACCTATTCTATTCTACATTAATCATTATCAATAGCCTTAGTAATCTACTGCTAGACATAGGTCTCTCTTTAGAAAGAAAGTTTTGGCTTACTACGTTTCTTTCAAGTTTTCCTTCTCCCTTTGCTCCCTTAGCCGGCTCTTACGACACCAACGGGATGAATAGGGGTGGTGACACTCTGTATTCCTAATCCGTCACCGACGGATTAAGAATACTTCTATCGCCTATATATACTCAATATTAAATTATTGTCTGCGGTATTGCTGGTCCAAAACGACCTTTAAACCATAAAAGAAGTATACTCCTACCTTAACTGGTGGCAGGCTCTTGAGTTACAGTTGTCTAAATACAGCAGTGGTCTTTCACGACAGGTGATCCGTCTGCCTGTTTCTCCTGTATACTATAAAAAACTGATTCATATGTGGACTACATAAAATTATTTAACCAAGTAGCAAACCTAAAATACATCACCAATACTACTAACCCCACAGTTTACTGGTCACGATGTACCCCACTATCCTTTTACAAACGATTGAATTAAATGTTAACCAAATGCTCGAGAAGTTCTCATAAAACAGATTCTTTTTTCTTTCCTTCAATTTAGAATTCATACTCAATCGAGAAACGTCTGTGATCATCCATAAAATCCTGCAATATGCAATTGTATAAAATATTCTTCACACGGCCGGTAATAAAAACTTTGCGGTCTATCAGTTTTGTTTTTCTCGCCAGGGGCTGCGCTTATAAAACATATTTCAGCCAAATTGCCGTACATGAAACCCGGAAGAGTTTTGGAGATGATAGATTTCATTTACATCTCTGTATTTCTTTTTCTGGGAAACGATGCTCACAGTTTAGCCAAACACCTTTATGGCCTCGAATATTGATTCCAAAAACGATATAGTCGTTTTAGCTATCACTATTTCTAGCTAAAACTACTATAGTTTTTTCGACGACTGTCATAACTAAGTGTCGAATTCTTTCTTTAGAAAATGAGAAAAAATCTGTAAGAATATACATTTAAAGTCCCTTTTAAGAATTTAATTTTACATTCGTGTACTCAAAAATTATGCTTGCAATGTTACATATTTACACAAACATAAAGTACATGGATTGGAAAGCTTTAATTTGTAACTATTTGAGGCAGTATATACAAATATACATTCAAAATTAATAGATTCCTTAGATTGAAATTAGTATATCAATTCATGTTTTATTATATTAAAAAAAAACAAGCAGCAAGATAAAACAGTTTGTCGAAGTAACGTATTTTACCAGCAGATATATAGGTATATAATAGTTACTATTATGTATATGATTATGTTAACTGGAGCGAGTTCCATATATTGGCAATATTGCGAACAAGAAAGAACACAACCTTAAGAATTCACAACCCACATCACAATAAAAGCATTACAATGTTTTAAACCGTATACCCACATCAATATTAGGCCGCACAGAATTCGTAAATTCCAATCCTTTTCTAAATCCTCAATAAAAATTTGTTGAGGGCGAAATCCTTTTATACCTCGGAGGCTGGGACTCTTTCTATTCCTCTCACACGCTGTTTCGCATTCCGCGGTGTCGCACCACCGAAAGCTACATAAAGCCTTCAGGGTGCTACATAACCACTGCACAAAATTAAATAGCGAATATACCAGTATGTGATTCAATGTTAAAAGAAGAGATCCTTATAATATTTTGTATGATTTCTTGGTTATTTTCCAGTATTGTTTATATAATTTTTCTGAACTGTCTATATCACTGAGCTGCTTTTAAACTGCTAGCCGATTTCGACAAAATAAGAGGCCAAAATGACAGCTTTCACTATTATTTTTAACCTACTTCAAAAACATAAAAGAGGAGGTTCTCAGTTCGAGTGCTTTTTCTGCACTGCTGTAGTAAAAAAGATGTATACACCACCCAAAAGGTGACTGGTAGAGAATGCCCTGGGCATACGGTCAGTCTTTGTAGGAAAGTGCAAAGTTGTAGCAAAGCTGTAAAAATAAATAAACTGTAGTATATTTCACGTCTCTTCCTGTTATAATTTCTTTCTTTTTTTCATTACGTCAACGTAATTGCAGTTTATCGGTAGACCAGCTTTTATGGAATGCTTCAAGTTCTTTATTTTAACTTCAAGCTGTACGGTATTAATATTTAAGCAAAAAAAAATGTTACACCATAGTAACGTAAAATCTTTAAGCTTTAGTCTACCCGACATGAACGCATCAGACTATTAACCGGGTATCGTATTATTAGTAGTTTACATACATACGTCAATATCTATAAGCCTGAAGGGGTTAGCAGAGGCGTACTAGACGCCCACATTTAGCCAACTATAATTTAGTAATACTTGTATAATAGGAAGCAAGTCTATTGCCAGGTCTAAGGTGAAATATCAAAGGCACTTGAAATCAACTCACTTTGACTGCACGGATCGCGTAGTGGCGTGGTTTAAGCGGTCGCCACGCCGCTTACTACTACGCTGAGTATTGTGGATCCGATCCCCACATGGGACAACACTTTGTGTGATCCACAAATAGTTGTTCTGAGTCTGGGTGTTCTTTGTGTCCGTTTCATTTATGTTTGTAAAGTCCCCCGCAACACAGGACTTACACAGAGAAAAGTTTACACAGAGACAGAAATTTATGCTTAGAAGTTCCGAAAAGAGGAAGTGTGTTTAAATCCAAAAGTCAAGTTTGTTTGTTCTTCACCCAAAATTAGAAAAAAAATGCATTGCAATTAAAAGTTCAGCCATAAATCCTTCATAAAAAGTCTATGAGGACATCGTAAACTTTAATATAGCAGAACTATTTTTTATATTCACATGTGCGTTTTGATAGTTATCGATACTAATCGCACCGCACTAGTAATGTGCCTACACTTGATGATTATCTATACAGATATCAAGATGTCCACAAACCGCTTTATATTTAAAAAAGAAGGTACATGAGGAAATCGTTTACCTTCTTTTTGAAATTTTTGAATAAAGCGGTTAATGAAATGGCAGAACTATCTAATCCATAGTATACCTCATATTCTGGTATTATGGAATATCTGGAATATATTATGTCTTTATATCTATCTTATATATAAAATTCTCGTGTCACGGTGTGCGTCGTTGAACTCCTCCGAAACGGCTCTACCGATTTTCGTGAAATTTTGTGTGCATATCGGGTAGGTCTGAGAATCGGACAACTTTTTTTTTTGACAAAGAAAATTGAAATAATGTATATGGCAAAACAACGTTTGCCGGGTCAGTGAGTATAAATATATTTCTATCTATATGTATGTGTACATATATACGTGTATTTATGATGTGTTGTGTTGTATGTGTGTATATGTTAGTTCATGTATGTGTATATTGTCACTGATCACTTAATGTTTTATGACGTGACCGCTGTGCATCTACCTTACAAGGTTTCTACACCACTCAATATTTGACTGGAAGAGAATGTACTTACTTGCAATGACTGACTGGATCGAAACCGAGGAACTTGAAATTTTGCCATCTGATACTTTCATATTGTGGGTGCTCACAATGCGAAGATGTTAGGAAATTTGATGTACGGTTGTATAAAAATTCTTCATTTCCAAAGTTGGAAACACGAAACAGTAAATAATCACGCGAGCGAAGCCGCGGATAACAGCTAGTCTATAAATAACAAGAAATGTCGGACAACATTACAGTTAGCAAAATGCGGGTGTGTTAGTGAAGTTTGCCGGCGTGATTGCGTGAGGTTACCGGCAACCCAACTTCCCTCCCATCCCAGGGAGGGCATTCAAAGTGTGCAATGCACTTGAGTCCTTTGAGTTACAGGTGCTCACGATGACTGGCCATCAGCTCAACCATACAACCCGTCCGCAAATTTGTCGACTACCATAAAAAATATAATTAGAAACCTATCGACCCAAGCCCATCTCTTAGTAAGTGTTGATACTATCGCGATGGTTTGTCGAGTGTACGACGAGACTGGATCTACCAATGTAAGCTCCTTAAAGCAAACATGCAGGCGCTGTTAATTCCAACAAGTATCTATAGAGGTAGTACGAGTATATATACAGGTTTTAGAAGAAGCCACGATGTAATTATTTTCAAGCCATATCACAATGGAATAGTAAGTAAGTAAGCTTTTTATTTATATTCTGTATATATAAGGTCTCCGTGTGGTGACGGATTAAGAATACGGAGTGTCACCACCGCTATTCATCCCGTGGGTGTCGTAAAAGTCGACTAAGGGAGCAAACTACTCAGGCAAACAGCACTGCAAAGAGAAAGAAAACTTGACAATAAACCTATACCAACCCGTCTGGCCAGTGTGGTATAGTAGGCCAAAACCTCATTTCTAAGGAGAGGTCTATCTCCAGCAGTGTACTATTAAAGGCTGTTGATGATTGATTGATGAAGCTTATTATTTTCAAATAAAACAGTTTTATAGTTTACAATAAAATTTTGATTAATTTCAATTTAATTTTAAATTACAAATGTGTCTATTCAATTACATTGATTTTTATATATTAATTTCAA